CACCTGTCTCCACACTGACCCTCCCTTCCTGAACCTGCCCCACCAGCCCTCCTGATTCACCAGGGGAGAACCACACCCAAGCTGGGAGTGAGGACGGAGGATGTAAACAGGAGTCTGCAGGGGGCCCCTTGGGGATCTGGGGGGGCAGCGGGGGAACTGTAGGGTCGCTGACTAGGTTGGGGGTCCCTTAGCCTTTGGGGTTCACACAGCCCTTCAAGAGTCTGATAAATGCTGGGGGCTCACTGCCTACAAAAGTGAGTTGGCTAAGGGCTAACAAAGGTTCATGACCCCGTAAGGTAGCCACGGGCCCCAGACTAAGAAACTGGGGGTAGAGAGTGCACTTTTTCTGTCTTCCTAAACTAGTGCTCTTCAGATTTTGGGAGCACAGACTTTCTAGAGGATCTGACAGAAGGTAGAGGGTCTTGCTGCAAAAATGTTGTGTGTATACACACACAGATTCATGCAGTCACATAATTTCAGGGGTTCCTGGGCACCATGAAGTCAGTCAGCGGCCATCCATTTTAGACCCCAGGACGGGAGGAAGTGGGTGAGGGAGAAAGGAGAATATTAGGAGGAGGGTGCACGGAGTGGATTAGTAAGCCAGCTGTCAAGAGATCACTGGATGGAAGAGGTGCATGGAGATGAGATTGCTGGTGGATGCTAGAAAACTTCTCAAAGCAAACAGGGGATCAGGGATCTGTGAGGGGGCGGGGAGTTGGGGGTCACGGGCAGGATGGGTCCCACTCACCCCAGACCTGTCCTCAGGATCGCTGGCACCTCCACCTCCAGCCACCACGTCATCCTCAGATTCATCAAAAGAGGAGGCAGAGGAGAAGCCACCACTGCCCCCCTCAACCCTGGAGGAGGGTCCCACTGGCTGAGCCTCGGGCTCAGGGGTTTCAGGAGTGATGATGAGGCGGGGCACAGTGGTCAAAGGGCTACACTCCAGGTGAGAGTACAGGTGAGTCACCAATTCCCCGGTTTCTCGTTCCTTTAGTGAGCCATCTTGGCTGGGCTCCCCCAAAAGGAAGTCTGTCTCAGGCTTTGTCTGGGTTCCATGTGCATCTCGTGTCTGGGGGACGTCAGCGCCAGGCTCAGTCCAGGAGCCATCAGAATCTTGTGCTGGGAAACCATCAATGCCAACATGCTTCCAGGCTGTTTCGGTATCCTGTTGCATCTGGGAGCCATCGATGTGAGGCTCTGTCCAGGGGCCTTCAGTATCCTGTTGTGTCCTGGAGCTATCAGTGTAGAATCCTTCCCAAGAGCCATCAGCACTTGGCTCTGTTGAGGGACAGACTCCCTCTGGTCGAGTCCGGAGGCTAGACCTGTTCTGCTGGGTGCATAGGTTATCAGCCCAGAGTTTGGCCCTTTCTGGCTGGGTCTGTGACCTATGTATTTCTAGCTCTGTCCAGGGCCCATCAACGCCAGGCTGTGTCCACAGGCTGGCCCTGTCTGGCTTAGACAGGAGATCGGACTTCTGCGGATCAGTCCAAAAGCCATCTGTCTCATTCTCCGTCCAGGAACCAGTTGTCTCCAGCTCTGACCAGTGACTGCTCCTTTCTGGATGTGTCCGGAGGTTGAACCTGACTGGCTCTGTCTTTTGGCTGGACCGCTCCGTCTGGGCTCCGAGGCCAGCTGCTTCAGGCTCAAGCTGTCGTTCTGTCCCTGGCTCAGGCCCGAGGTTGAACACCTCGGTCTGGATCGGGGGCCCGCGTCTCTCCGGCCGCCCCGCCGGGCCCCCTGCGCTGGGCCCAGGTCGCTGCTGCCCCGGCTGCCGCCGCCGCCCCCCTCTAGGCGCCTCCAGCCCCATGCGGGCCGCCCCTGGCAGCGCCCCGGCCTCCGCCTCGCTCAGGCTCCCCCGGCACGGGCAGCGCCTCATGCCCGCTCCCTTGGTTCGGGCTTGGGTCTGACCCGGCCCCTCCTGCCCCTTTAAATCCCGCAAGGGGTGTGGCCGGGGAGCCCCAACTCGCGGGTTCCGGCCCGCGGAGTTCCAGCCCTCCCGGCCAAGCAGGGGTTAACCGATACTCACCACCCTCCCACCCCGCCTCCAGGGAAAGCCAGAAGCCCCGCCCAGACGGACGTGACGTAAAGGGACGCGTCTCGTCTGGCCCCGCCCGTCTCCGTTGGAGGGTGTGGCCTCAGAGAGCTAGAAACTGGTTAGGTACGGATCTGGGCGCTGGAATCCCGGTTTCCGTCCAGTGGGGCTCCCCCACTAAGCCTCGCCCCGCAACTAATCCAACCTTTATACATCTTCAGGTGACCGGTTTAGCCTTCTTATAACCCTCGGTGACAAGTCCAGCACCGCGCCCATTCTTCACTCTGAGTAGGGAGGGACTGACTTTACACTACGTACGTTCGAGACTCTCTTCTACCACCTACTAGCTGTGCTGCCTAGAGCGAATGACTTACACTCGCGCCGCCCCAGGCTCAGATTTTTCACCTGTAAATGAGGATATTTAATATTTTATTGTTTAGAAAAATGTGTGTTTAGTGCCACAAGAGCCACATAGTTCTACCAACAGGGAAATTGAAGCCCAGAGTAGTAAAAGAATTTGTCTAAGGTCAAAAAGTGAGGTTAGTGGTGGGGCAAAGCCAGGGCCTTAAACTCTGAAGCTGGGATGCCTGGTTTCAAATCCTGGCTCCAACACTCACTTATGGGGTAATCTTTCTCAACAGACTTATCTCCTTTGAGCCTGTTCCCTCATCTATAAAAAGGAGGATAACAACCATAATTTTCTTACAGGGCTGTTACAGGAATTAGTAGTTATTTACAACAACATTCACATTTGTGCATTTGCTTTGTGCCAGGTGCAATACTGAGCACTTTGTACCCTAAATCTTGTGAGGTCGGAATCATCATTCTAGTTGGAAACAGAAGCACAAAAAGGTAGGGAGTCTGAGATCATACATCCAGGTTGTATAGATTTGAACCCGTCCACCTAATGCAAAGGCTGGGTTTTTAGTCCCTACTGGGTGATAGAACTTGCTTTTGAAGCTGGGGTTTTGGAGGAAGAGCGCAAAGTCAGAGCATTTTCCCTAAATCGGATCATGTCCCTCCTCTGCTCAGAATTCTCCAGGGTTGCCATTCTACTCAGGGTAACAGTCACAAGTCCTTACTGTGAGTCACTATACCCTATGTAATCTGGCTCAGGTTACCTCCCAGACCTCATCTCCTGTCTTTTCCCCTCTTGGCCTCTTTTCTATTTCTCCAAGATCTCTTCTACCACAGGACCCTTGCACCTGTTGTTCCCACTTCCTAGAATGTTCTTCCCTCAGACATTCCAATAACTCCCTCCCTTGCCTCCTTTGGGTCTTTGTTTGAAGTCGTCTCCTCAGCAAGGCCTTCCCTGAGCACCTTATTTAAACTCAAAATCTTCCCTCCAGTCTCTGGCCCTCTCCCCTGGTTCATTTTTCTTTTTGACATATGTGCCTTATTAAATATACTTACAATTTTTTTTTATTGTGCCCCTCACCAGAAGCCAGCACCAAGAGGGCAAAACTTTTAGCCTCTATTGTTCCTTGCTGTATCCTCAGTGCCTAGAAAAGCACATGCTAAGTGCTTAACAAAAATTTTGAAAAGAATGTTTCCAAAAGAAATTTCACGTGTGGCACTCTTGTTCTGTACCAGGCCTCATGCTAAGCTTTTTGCAGACACTGTTTTACTGCATCTCTCTCTAACAATGAGCAAGAGTAGGTGCTACAGCCCCATTTTAAAGATAGGGACACTGAGGCTCAGAGGTCTGCCTGCCTCTAGCCTTTGCAGGTAGTGACCATGCTATTTGATATGACCTCATATATGTGAACATGTGGCACCAGACTTGGCACCACCAGTCACAATCCTGTAGGGTTATTGTCATAGATGCTTTTTATATATTTTTGCCCCCAAGAGTGAGTTGTCACCCAGCTCCTGAGTCAGACCCTTAATCTAGAGGGGGACAAGAGGTGGTTTCTGTCTTGGAATTGAGTCACCTGGGGGAGAAGCATTGGGCACAGGACCAAGGCTTTAAAATGAGTCATCTCATTAAGACCAGTGAGAAGTAATAGCAGGGGGCCTCCTAGCACATCAAACAGGCTGGGAAGCTGAGGTCCAGAAGGGAGGGAGGCTCTTCTGAGGTCATATAGCACAGGGGCACAGACAGGGAGGTCTGATTCCTGACAAAGGGGGTTAGACAGGGGCAGGGGGTTCTGTGGGGAAAGCATCACATCCCTCCTTCTCCCAGCGGTGGGAGAGATGCCCCAGCCAGCTGCTTCTATTACAAACAATGAGAAGAGGGATGAGTCAGTCTGTTGTGGAGGGGAGCAGGCTTTAATCCTGCCGCCCCCCCTACCAACTCCCCGCACATGCCCCACATCCCCAGATGGGCTGGGAGCTGGTTTTCTGGGATGCCAAGTCTCCTGACTCAGCACTGGGAATCTTGGCTGAGTGTGTTCTGGGAAATGTCAAGCCTACAGGAAACAGAGGGTTCCCACTCAAGCCATCCAGCAGGTGGGCGAGAGTGGAGAAAAGCAGGGTATATGCGGGAACAGGGCCTGGTGTGCAAGAGGCTGAATATGAGGGTGTTTATGTACACGGGAGAGTTGAGAGTGTGAGGAGATTGCCAGCAAGGCAGGAAGGGTACATGTGCAAGGGAGGAGGGTGGGTGCTAGGAGGTGGGTGTTTGGAGCAGAGGGGTGTATGCAAATGTGAAAAGGAAATGTTGGCTGGGAAGATGTGTGTTCAAAGGAGATGATGAGCCTGATGGGGGTAAAAATAAGCAAGGAGGTTGGCAAGATGTTCCTGCACAGGAGAGGGGTGTGGAGTTTGTAAGGGTAAGGGATATTTGCGAAAAAGTAGAGAACAAAAAGGGCCGCCGCGTACAAGGAACCCTGAAGTGAGTCCCGGGCATAAAGGGCACGTGCACCACCACGGTGTTCCAGCAAATCCCCGACAGGCCTCAGCGCCCACCCTTAGGCTCCGCCCCTGGTCCCGCCGCTTCACATGCCAGTCAACAAGATGTTGCTTCCCCATTGGCTGTATGACGAGGGGGCGGGCATGCAGAGACTCCCGGAAGCTCAGGGAGGCCCCAGTGCGTAGCCGAGGAGGAACCGGGGAGCGGTGGGTGCTTAGCAACCAGAGAGGTGCCCACGAACGGGGTCGGGTTGTGGGGGGACAGGGGAGGAATTGTGGGTACCTAGCAACAAAGGGGAAGGCGGTGCCTAGCAACGAGTTTGGTGGGGAATCAGAGGAATGGAGAGGTAGCCCTGGAGGATCTGTGGGTGTGTAGCAAATGAGGAGGACCTTAGCAACGGCGGGAAGCGGGACTGGAGAAAAGTAGGTTTGGGGAGGTGCGCAGAAAGAGCAATGGATTCCAAGCAAGGGTAGAAGTAACTAGGAGAAATTGGGGGGCCTGTTAAGAGGGGAGGAAGTCTGGTGAGTGGGATTCTTAGGGTGGACACAGAGGAATGTGAGGGCTTGGCAAAAGCAGCAGGAAGGTCAGTCCCACAACTCCTCCTTGAATAATCCCTCCTTTTCTCCCCCAGGCGATGTGGCTGGAGGCCAGGGGCCTACTGAGGAGGACCTGTGGACCACTGGGCCGGACTATTGGTCTGTTTTGTGGGGCCCTGGGGCCTGGACCCCACTGGTGGGTAAGAGCCTGGGGAGGGGTCTTCAAAGGGAAGAGGCTGAGGGGACAAAAAGACAGGGAGGTGCCCAAAAGGGCCAGGCATATCCCATGTCCTCCACTCATTACCAATGTTCATGTCTCTTGCAGGGTCCATGTGGTGGTTCTTGGGCCCAAAGGTTTCATAAGGATGGGCCTGGCAGAGGTCTGGGTGAGGAGGACATTCGCAGGGCTCGCGAGGCCAGGATCAGGAAGACACCCCGGCCCCAGGTAGCATCGCCCCCCACCCACCCAGCAACACCCCATGAAGGCAGCTGGCCTCCTGAGCTTGGGGCAGGGTGTGGTGGCAGGTTGGTTGGACTCCCTGGACAGTGTGTCCACCTTCCTGCCCTCAGACCTGCTCTCCATTTCCCAGCTGAGTGACCGCTCTCAGGAACGCAAGGTGCCTGTCTCCCGCATCAGCCGCTTGGCCAACTTTGGGGGTAGGTGTGACTGTGGGACACCAGAGGAGGTGACATTTATGGAGTGAAGCAAGGGAGAGGGTGAATCAGAGACAGGAAGGGAGAGACAAAAAAGAGAATGAAGGCAAAAGGCCTGCAAAACCAAGAGAAACAGTGAGAAGCATATGTATTGAGGCCTTGGAATGTGCAAGGTCCCGTACACCCATGATCCCTCTGCACCGTGTGCGTAAGTGTTTATTTCCATTCTATAGACAAGGAAATGCAGGCTATGGGAGATGAAGTGATTGACCCCAGGTCATGCCGCAGGATTGTTCAAACTTTAGGTCACGATCTGCATGAAATAATTTAGTGGATTGCAAGCAGCGTTGAAAAGAATGGAAAGTATGAGGTGTGTGTACTGTAAGGGAAAGTCTTATTTCATGAAACATTATGTATACATTGATCTCTACTGATTATAATGCTGATGTCTTGTTTACTGTGGGTCACAGCTCAGGTTTTAAAGATACTGATTCACAGTATAAAGAGGGAGTTGAATGCAGTGGTTAGAGCTCTGACACCAGCCTGCCCAGGATTTAAGGGATAATTCTGCTGCATCCACACTTTATGACTGTGTTAACTTCTCTAATCCTTGGTTTCCTTTCCTGTAAAATGGGAGTGTTTCTGTAAAACTTACCTCAACAAGGGTATGAGGACAAAATGAGTTAGTGAATCTAAGGCACTAGGCATGGTTCCTAGCAGGTAGAAAGTGCTCAGAAAATGCCAGCAATGATTCTTTACAGAGACAGTGATAGAAGCAAAAAGACTCAAGATATCTTTAGGGACAAAAGAGAGGAAATCAGAGCCAGAGAAAGAGCATCAAAAGGAACAGAGAGAGAGGCCTAGATATGTGCCAGGTAGAGGGAAGGGGAGAAATGGAGGAAGAAGTGACTTAGAAAAAGAGGTGAGCAGCAAGAAGAGGTGTGGGCAGAGAAACGAGTCTTAAGAAGACAGACACACCTGGCGAGGTGGGGGTGGGGTCACTTCGGGGCCTTCTTATTCTTGGCTGTGCACTAGAATCATCTGGGATGCTTTAAAAAAAAAAAAGAATTCCAAGGCCTCCACTCAGGTCATTTTAACCCAGACCTCATTATTTACAAAAGTTCCTCACATGACATAGATGCACAGCTGGGGTAAGCTGCCCAGGACACCGACACGGACAGAGAGAGAGAGCCTGCCTGGCACAGGGTGAGCCCTCATTATAACAGCTCAATTTAAAAAAAAATAAAAGAAAAGCTTAATAAACACTTTATTGAATAATTAATTTGCATATAGAGCTGTGCATATATCATAAATGTGCAGTTTGGTTCATCTACACAAAGAGGTAGCCCCACCTTGACGGAAACCCCAAGCAGGGAGATGGTGAATAAAAGACTGAGTTGGGGACAGAAGGATGCAGAGAGTTGGGAGACAAGTATGTATAGACAGAGAGGAGAGAGGGACTGGGCGGGGGGCGTACGGTTTGCGGGCAGTTCACCCGGGCAAGTGGGCACCTGGCTCCTCTCTTACTCCCCAGGACTGGCTGTGGGCTTGGGGCTTGGAGTGCTGGCCGAGGCAGCCAAGAAGTCCCTGCCAGGAGGACACCTACAGTCAGGTGAGTGAGCCACACTGCCCAGCCTCCTGTGTGACCTGGGGCAAGTGGCTTCCCTTCCCAGAGCTCCAGTTTCCCAGAAAATGGAAGTGATGATAATGTAACCATCTCTTTGGGTCATTGTGGAGTGCTCAGAACAGGGCGAAGCCACTGTCAGGGCTATGATGAATAGAAGCATATCATGTGAGAAAAAAAATTAAGCCATTGGGACCTTAGGAAAGCTGAAGCCAGGAGTACTAGTGAGCGTCTGTGTGCAATGGGGATGGAGTGAGGTGTGTAGAGATCGGCATTTGTAGGTGAGGTTCGCCAACAAGTCAGTGTCTTAAAACAAAAATGAGAGTGGGTGTTCCAGATCAGAGGACACTAAAGAGAAAATAACTGACAGATGAAATATGTAAACCCTGATGCATGTCAGTTCAAACATGGTAACTACAAAACACTTTTGGGGAAAAGTATGGGAAAATCTGGAGAGCAGATGAGAGACTTAGTGTTAATTTTCTTAGGTGTGAGGATGGCACTGTGATTGTGAACTCGCACAGGATGAGTACAACTGCATACAAATAGGTCAGCAAAAAATAGTGGTAAGCATTTGGGCACACACACAAGGAAAGCAGATGAGGCAGAATGTTAAAATGTTGATTCGGGTGTGCAGGTGTTCATGTTACCGTCCATGCACCTTTTCTGTCTGTTTGGCTCTTTCTCAAAATAAAAAGCCTGGGGGTCAGTAGAGGATTAGGCTCTAGGGTGAGGCCAAACGGAGTCTGCGCACTGTTCTGACACTTCTGTGCTGTGTGACCCAGGGCTAGGCACTGTACCTCTGAATCTTTTGTTTCTTCACCTTGAAATATGAAGGCATTGGTAGTTCTTACTTCCTGGGGTGATTGTGAGGATTCAGGCAGAGAATCCACATAGACGCTTGGCATTCTGCCTGGTGCAGGGTGAGCCCTCATTATAACATCTCAATTAAAAAAAAATAAAAGCTTAATAAACACTTGAATAATTAATTTACATACAGAGCTGTGCATATATCATAAGTGTACAGCTTGGTTCATCTACACAAAGTGGCCACATCTGAGCACCCAGATCAAGAAACCCTGATACAGCAGTTCTCAAACTTTTTGGTCTAAGGGTTTCTGCATACCCTTTAAAACTGAGGAATGGGTAAACAAGATGTATTATGTCCATACAATGGGATACTGTCACCCATAATGATAATGCTACAATGTGAATGAATCTTGGAAACACTGTCCTGGTGAAAGAAGTCAGACACCAAAAGGCACACATTAGATGATTCCATTTATATGAAATGCCCAGCACTGGGAAATCTATAGAGGCAGAAAATAGTGGTTTCAGGGTTCAGGGAAAGGTGGTTGGGAGGAATTGGGGGTGACTATTAATAGGTATGGCATTTCTTTTTGGGGTGATGAGAATGTTCTAAAATTGGCTGTCGTAATAGTTGTACAACTCTGAATATACAGAAAGCCATTGAACTAAACTTTAAGTGGGTGAATTATATGGTATGTGAATCGGATCTCAGTAAAAATAGAATGAGGACCCCAAGGAGCTTGTTTAGGTGGGGTTGTATTAATGGATATTTACTGTAGTAAAGATTGAATAGTTTTTAAGACACAAGAATACACACACACATATTCCATCAACTGTTAGAGCAACATCATCACAGGTCCTGGAGCTTCTGGAAAAACTGGGAGTTATGAGAGTAAAAAAAGGCAAATAGCATTTGTTATTAGAATGAAAATAGCTCTCATCTCACAGAGCCTCCTGAAGGGTCTCAGGGGCCCCCCAGACCACACTTTGAGAATCATTGCCCTGGTTCCCCAGAAGCTCCTCTCATGCCCCATCCTGGCCACTCCCCCAACCACAGTAACCACTCCAGGGCTTCTGACCCCCGACATTAGTTTTACCTGTTCCTGCTCTTTATGCGAGTGTAATCGGACAGTGTATTCCTGTGTGTGTCTGGCCTCTTTTGCTCAGCATTCTGTGTGAGAGGTGCAGCCAAGTTGCTGTGAGGAGTTACAGGTTGTGGAATCAGTCACTCCGTGACTACTCCTTTCTTCTCTTGACAGTCATTTGGGCTGTTCCTGGTTTGGGAGTGTTAATGAATAGTGCTGCTGTGAGCCTTCTCAGAGTATCTGTTGGTGGACACATTTCTCCTGGGTGTATTGCCTCAGGTATAGGCATGTGCTTTACTAGAAACTCCCAACTGTTTTCCAACGGGCTTGTGCCATGACACTCAGCAGCAGCGCTGGCATTCAGGTTGCTCCACATCTTTGCCAACACTTAGTATTGTCTTGTTCATTTTAGCCATTCTGATGGGTGTGCAGTGGTATTATAATGATTATGTTTGTGATTGTAATGCTAATGGTTATTATCTCCAACCCAGAGGGTGGCTCCCGCCCAGGCTGCAGCCCTTTCCTGTCAGAGGCCAATGCTGAGCGGATTGTGCAGACCTTGTGTGCAGTTCGGGGGGCCGCCCTCAAGGTTGGCCAAATGCTCAGTATCCAAGGTACATCATGACCCGAGCTCAACTCCTAACCCCTGACCTCACTTCTACTCCACTGCACCCACCAAGCCCTGACTGCACATACTTCCATGGGGGCCCCTCCTCCCCTGCTCCTTCACTGCTTCCGTACCCCTCTGTTCCCCAAGACAATAGCTTCATCAGCCCCCAGCTGCAGCACATCTTCGAGCGGGTCCGCCAGAGCGCCGACTTCATGCCCCGCTGGCAGATGCTGGTGAGTGCCCAGTGCTGGATGACCGGTGAGGGAGGTGTGCTTCACTCTGCCTGAATTTCCTAGGTTCATTGCCCTACCCCCTGTCTGACTCTGCGCCTCAGTTCCCCCGTCTGTCAAGTGGGGATCGTTAAAGCTCACATCTCATAGGACTGTTGTGATTAAATGAGATTAAACAAGAGAGTGGTTCAGAGTGCTCAGCCCGGTCCCTGGCAGGCTCAGGGCTCTGTCAGGGCTGTTGAAGAAGCAGTAGAGTGTAGGGGCCAGACTTTGGGAGTTCAAACCCTGGCTCTGCCACTTAGTACCTGTGTGGCCTGACCTCTCTGTGCCTCAGTTAGCTCATCTGTGAAATGGCAACAGCAGTAACAACACCCATATCATAGGGTTACATTAATTAGTATACGTTCAGCACTTAGAAGGGTCCTGACACATCATGAGTGACATGAAAGTTTTAGCTGTTATTATTACTGGATTTTAATTAAAGGAGATCGTGTTTGTAAATAGGTTGGCCCAGCACCTGGCACTGAGTAAGTGCCCAAAACATAGCTATTCTTCTAATAACTGGGTAAGGGTGTAGAATCTGGAGTTCAGCCGCCTGCCTGCCTTCTGATCTGTGCTGCTCATTCCCTGTGACCCTGGGTAGTTACTGTTCCCCTCTGGGACACTCTAATGGGACCTGGCCCACAGGAAGCACTCTGTAATTTTGGCTCTTCTTTATCTTACTAGGTTTGAGTAAATAATTTAATATACAAGTCTAACAAAGGATTATTACCAATCTTAACTACACATAATGGCAATCCCCACAACAGCCCGCAGTCTCTTGGGAGTATAGGCTCAGGCTGGGCCTCCCACTCCGCCAGGACCTAGCTCATCAACCTGGGCCAAGAGACTTCCCTCTGAGCCTCATTTTCCTTGTCTGTAAAGTGGGGTAGCAGCCGATTAACACAGAGAGTGCTCAGCACGGGGAGTGAACTCAGCTGCCTTTAATGATGATGATGATTCTTAGGACCTCTCTCCCCAGAGAGTTCTTGAAGAGGAGCTCGGCGGGGACTGGCAGGCCAAGGTAGTGTCTTTGGAGGAGGTGCCCTTTGCCGCTGCCTCCATCGGACAAGTGCACCAGGGCATGCTGAGGGATGGGACCCCGGTGGCTGTGAAGATCCAGGTGAGAGGGGAGGCCAGCTGGGGTGGGGGTGGCACACTGCTGTCCCAGAGGAGTGACACTCCCTGCTACCCCCCTCCCAGTACCCAGGTGTTGCCCAGAGCATACAGAGTGACATCCAGAACCTGCTGGCAGTGCTCAAGATGAGTGTGGCCCTGCCGGAGGGTGAGGCACCTGCTCCACCCCCGACTGCAGGGGGATTTCTCTGAAGAGAGAGTGGGGCCAGATGGAGGGAGGGCAGCTGGCTCTGAGCAGGGTGTGCCTGTGTGCGAGTGCGAGCAGATGTGGAAGCCTGTGTATCTGAGACGACTGGTGGCGAGAGAAGAAATCTCTGAGTTGGAGCCTGAGGGGCAGCAGGGGCAAGGTGGGACAGGCTGTGGCCTTCCCTGGCTGACACCACTGCCCCCTCAGGCCTGTTTGCTGAGCAGAGCCTGCAGGCCCTGCAGCAGGAGCTAGTTTGGGAGTGTGACTACCGTCGTGAAGCAGCTTGTGCCCAGAACTTCAGGTGAGCTGAGCAATGTGCAGGCCCCTCAGGGACCCCTTCTCTCCAGCTTCCCTCCTTCCTTCCCTCCCAGGATGTGTGGGAAGTGGATTACCCCCATCCCGTGCCCCACACCCCCTCCCCCACAGCTGGAACTGGGGTAGGGCTGGAAAACCTTTTTCTCTGCATTCATTTGCTCATCCACCCATCCATGCACTCATGACTTCATTGATCCCATGTCCTCTGTGGACTTGGACATGTCACTTCCTCTCTCTGTTGGTTTTCTCATCTGTCCGATGGAACATATAACCACTGTAGTCTCACGGGAGGTGCTTTTGTCAACAGGCACTTAATTTCACAGTGAGATAACGTTACACCCACTAGACTAACAGATTAAATAGCCTGACAGTGTCCCGAGTTGGGGACAACAGGGCTTCACGGCATCCCTTATATACTGTGGGCAGGAAGAGAAATTGCTATAAGCATGCTGGAGAACAGTTTGGCAGCACTGAGCCTCAGTATTCACATAAACCCAAAGTTGCCCTCCTTGCTAAATACTCCGGGGACACTTATGCTCATAGACACCATCAGACTTTTTCAGAATGCTCAGAGCAATGACAGTCCTCACTGGCTCACTGGGAAAACCCAAATCTATCAGCTTTGTCCAGCAGGATGAATAAATAAATTGCAGTATATTCACCGCTGGAATATCATACATCTGCGAAGATGAACAAACTACAGCTACAGAGAACGATGAGGTTGTGTCTTAGAAGCATCGTGATATGCAGCAATTAATTGCACCTCGTGCGATCCTCTGCAGTATGGCCCATACGTTTATTGAATCAAGTCCTATAGGTACGGAGTGAGAGGAGGCAGTGGTTAGGGGCATGGGCCCTGGACTCAGATATGAGGTCCAGTCCCAGGTTGGCCCTTATCAGGCTCGGTGGCCTAAATCTGCACACTTGGAAGAGTATCCTCTGCATAGGGGAGTGAGGATAAACGGGAACTGTGCTGATGAAATGCTTAGCATAGGGGCCTGGGCCATGAGAAGTAGTTTAAAAAGAGATTTTATAAACTAGGACAAAAATACAAGCCCCAAAGTGGAGCTTTAGGAGGACAGTGCAAAGTAAGCTGGACCAGGGCGCTTCCGTGGGGGATCTGGGAGACCCCTCTCCTGTAGGATTCCCCTTGCCCTCAGAATAAAGCCTACATCATGCCCCTGGCCCTACCCCATAGCCCTGCTCCAGAGCTACCCCCACTCCAGCCTGCCCACAGGTCCCCAGCCAGTGGGCTCACTCATTCTTTTCTCCCCAAATCTCATACTTCCACGTTTTCTGTCAGTCTAGTATTGGTCTGTGTGTCTGTTAGAGTGTGGTGTCTGGTATGTGCGTGGGGAAGGCCCAGGGCTCATCCACTGCTCTGTCACCCAGTGTCATCTAACAGGGACAGACACCAAGAGTCTTCCCCTTTATTAACCAGGGTTCAGAGTCATGACACCAGGAGGGACCCATGAGTATCATTGTGGACTCAGATCATCAGTAACTGTTCTTGGGGTGGATTAACTAATACGTTGATATAAAAAAAAAGTGGTGCTCATCAAGCTTAATATATTAAGTTTGTCCTGGGACAACTGGAAGTCATAGAAGTGTTTCCAGGAGGGAAGTGGTAACAGGGTCTGCAGCAGCACCCAGCTTTGGGGCAAGCACAGAGTAGGTGCTGCAGAGATATTTGTTGAGTGAATAAATGAAATGTCTGAATGAATGTCAGTCCAGCCAGGTATTGGCCATCACTCAGGACAGACAAGCAAAAGGAAGGCAGGAAGGAAGGTAAGACCTAGACTGTTCATGGAGGACTTCTCAGAGGGGGAGGCCACATGGGCCTGAAGCATGAAGTCCCCTCCCCTCCCCTTCTTTCTGCCCCAGGCAGCTGTTGGCAGGTGACCCCTTCTTCCGGGTACCAGCGGTGATCACAGAGCTGTGCACGACACGGGTGCTGGGCATGGAGCTAGCTGGGGGGGTCCCTCTAGACCAGTGCCAGGGCCTGAGCCAGGACACCCGCAACCAGGTACATGGTCTCATGCAACAGCTGGGTGGGCCTGCCCCAGGGCAGGGCTGACAAGGTGGGCCAGACAGACTTATGGTCCCTCTCCAGGTTAGAGAGGCTTTATAGGGGCAGATGACTCTGAGCTGTCTGTTACTCCCTCTCCCCATTCCCAGATCTGCTTCCAGCTCCTGAGGCTGTGTCTACGGGAGCTATTTGAGTTCCGATTCATGCAGACAGACCCTAACTGGGCCAACTTCCTATATGATGCCTCCAGCCACCAGGTAGGTTCTTCATGATGTGTGTCAGGGTACATTAGCTACTGTAGCAGATATCCCAATATCTCAGTACCTTAATACAACAGTAGTTTATTACCCACATAACAGGTTTGGTTGGCCCTCCTCCATGTGGTGATTCAGGGACCCAGGCTCCTTCCCTTCCCTTCTGTTTTTATGTCTTCCTCTAGGCCTGGCAGTGCTCTCCTTCCAGTGGAAGGGGAAACAGGTTGAAAGGGTAACCCCTTGCCTAACTGCTTTGGCCAGAAGTGCCCTGTTATTCCCTTTACCATTCCGTTGATAAGAACTGGTTACATGGCCTGTCTGGGTGCAAGGGATGCTGGGAAATGGAGTCCCTGGCTAGGCAGTGGCCTCCTAGTGAAAGTGTAACAATCTAGAAGAGGAAGCACAATTTTTGAAGTCATTTAGTCATCACTACCACACTTGTCGCTCATTTAGAACACACCAAGCACCTACTGCCTGTTGACAGTGATGCCAAGACAACCCTGATCCTCCCCTTTTCAGAGTTTCCAGCCCAGTAGGGAGACCAGTCACTAGGCAATGGTGACCTACAGTAATTAGTACCATGATGGGGAAGCACAGCCAAAGTGGTCGTGATGGGGGAGGCCCAGGGGCTGTGGGAAGCCAGGGAAAGTGGCTGACCCAGCCTGGGGTGAGTGAGGTCAAGGAAGGCTTCTTAAAGAAAGTGCCATTAAAGCTGAAACCAGATAGATGAAAAGGAGACAGCCATCTAAAGAGCAGAGCATTCCCGGCAGACAACACAGGGTGTCCAAAGGCCCGGGGGTGGAGTTTAGACTGAAACACTCAGGATGTATGGTTGCCAAATGGCTCTCCAAAATGGTCTGTATCCATTCTGTCCCCAGAGAGGTCTTCCTAAAACACAAATCCAGCCAAGCTGCCCCTTCCACAGCTCCCCAACACCCTCAGGATCACTCTTGAGCACTTTGCTGCATGTAATGTGGCCCCACTGAGTCTCCAGCCTCAGTCTCACGCTGCTTCTTCCTCCCAAATGCACAGACACCCTGCATCCCTCCTAGGCTCATACCCAGAGACATGTTTTTCTAACTCCAGGCAATGATACGAGTCCTGATATCAATTCACTGGGGTCCAAGAGCAATTTTTTTTTAAGACATAGAAAATATCAGTGTCACAAATGGGAAGGATCCATATTATTTTGGGACAGTTTTGTTTGGCATTTATATTTATGTATGCACGTATGCTGATGCTCAGTATAATCTATATTTCCTACTGTGGGTTGTGATCAGTACCTTAAACTCCACTGCCCTAGAAACTCTTACACATTGTATTCATTGGGCACGTTTTAATGGCAAAACCCAGAAACCACAACATCCATCAACCAGATAACTGCAGTGATATATTCATGTAACAGCAGTGAAAAAAATGAATGAGTGAGAACTGCACACAGCAATGGGGATAAGTTGCAAAACCATGTTGGGCACAAAGAACAAGTTGCAGGATTATTATCATAAACAACCATTTATGATGTGAAGTTTTAAAACATGCAGAACATTACTGTGTATTGCTCATGGGTACACACATATATAAAACATGTAGAAATGCACACACTGGAATTTCAGGAAATAATAATTTAATAATAATAATAATTTCAGGAAAATGGGGACCCTGGAAAAAGGGATGAGGCCATGAAGAGGTAGCATCAGGCCAGGGTACACAGGAGGCTCCCTCTGGATTGGATTTATATTTTAAGCTGGTGGTGGGACTTGTGGGGTTCATTTTACTTTTCCATGGATTTTATTGTCTGGATTTTTTCCTGTGCCTAAAACCTGTCCTGAAAATGATTAGGACCAAAGAAATAAAAGCCAGGTCCTCTCAGCTTCCCGTGGGGGCGGATTGGAAGGAGCCCCAGGAGGCTGCCGGCTGGCAGCTCTGGCAGGAGGGGCAGGGTATAGGGAGGGAGGGGTGGGCCCTAGGTACCCCTGCTGGACAGTACGAACAGTGGTGGACTCCCAGTGTCCCTTTTACCATCCCTCATTCCTAGGTGACTCTGCTGGACTTTGGTGCAAGTCGAGAATTTGGGACCGAATTCACAGACCATTACATTGAGGTGAGTGTCCCCACCCATAGTGTCTCTGAAGGGCAGAGCCTCAGGCCAGATAGGGAGGCAAGGGTGAGAAGGAGAAATATAGTTATCTGGAATTAAGAAGTAATATGTAATAGTGATATCAATAGCTAACAAATACCAAGCACTTGATATTATGGCCAGCGCTTTTAAATTGATCTAAACCATCCAGCAACTCTGTGGGGAAAGGACCATTTTTAACGCATTTTACAGATGAAGTAACTGGGGCTCTGAAAAGTTATGTCACTTGCCCAAGGTCACAGCAGATCTGGAATTCAAACTCAGGGAGTCTGAGTCCAGAGCCCATGCTCCCAACCCCTGAGTAGCCCCTTCTTAAGAGAAAGGCCAACAGTGGCTCTCCTGTCACCTCCCCACACTGTCTAGGGCTATAGTGCCCAGCCTTGCATTCTCGTACCTCCCTGGCAGGCTGCTCCCTAGCGGGCAGCTCTCCTTAGAAGTGTTTCTTCACTTATGTTGCCCATCCTTCCCACCCACCAGGGTGGATTTGTCCCAGAGGTCCCAGAGAATGCCATCTCATTAATTTGTTGAGATTGGACTTGTAATCATTTAGTCACCAATTCAAGTATTCTCTGACCTCTCTCTGTCTGTACCCAGCCCTATTCTGGGTGATACTGGGAATAAGAGTGACCAATCCAACCCGGGTCCCGACCATCAGAGATCTCACATACCAGGTCGGGGACAGACTGTAAGGCCCCGGAGGGGTCAGTGTGTGATGGGGAGGTACAGGGGACTGTGGGAGCAAGAGGACAAGCCTGGCCCAGCCTAGGGGGTCCGGGAGAGCTTCCCAGAGGAAGAGACATCAGCGTTGAGACCTGAGGGGTAAGGAGACCAACCAGGCAGAGCTAGGAGGGTATTCCAGACAGATAACATGTGCAAAAGCCAAGCAGCAAGAAGGGACATTCCAAAGCAGTGCTTCTCAGACCTGATGAGAAACACTGCCCTCCCCTCCATGATCCTGTTAAAATGCAGATTCCGGTCTGGAGTTAGGCATAAGATTCTGCATTTCTAACACAGCCCCAGGTGATGATGTCAGAGCTGCTTGTACAGGGCCCACTCGGAGTAGGAAGGTCCTGGAGGCTCTTCCAAAAGGAAGCTCGTGTTCTGACTGGGCCGCAGTGGGGCAGAGCAGGAGCCGGCAGTCGAGGCTGGAGCCAAATCACTCTGAGTCTTAGAAGCCATGCTTCTCAGCTGTATTTTATCTGGCTACCTGGGGAGCCATGGAAGGAATTTGAGCAGAGGAGGGACAAAGTCAAAATTAGAAAACTCCCTCTGAATAACAAGTGGCCTTTAAGACTGGGAGCTGGGAGCCCTGGAAGGCTGTGGGGAGGAGAAGAGAGGTGTCAGGGACAAGGCCCAGAGCTCTGGCTTGGGAACTGGGAGAAGATGGGGTCCCCCTGGGATGGGGAAACAAAGGAGGAGCTGATAACCATCTATCCCCCAACCCCCCCACCCACAGGCCACTTGAGGTCCAAAGATGAGGCCTCTGGGTAGCTGGGACATCTTCTGCCCTCTGCCCTTGGGCCTGTTTAGCATAGCCCTCCTCCCTTCTCCCCAGCCTTTTCCAGTTTGAAAAATCCCTGTCACATGAGCCCCCAAGGACCACAGTCCTGACAGATGGCCAGACAGGCTCAGGCTGGGGTAGCTGAGACAGAATAGAACTGCCAGGTTTAATCCTGTATCCCCTTCTCTTCCTTCCAAGAAAGGGCCGCTCAGCGGCTAAGGTTTGCCCTGGTCCCACTCTTCGCCTTGCTAGTCCCTGCTGAGCCTTATTCCTCTTCTGGCAAGTAAGAACCCTCAGATCACTTCTTCTTTTTTATTTTTGAGATTATGAAGCACTTTTATTTATGTATTTTTTATTAAGGTGTTATTGATATACACTCTTACGAAGGTTTCACATGAAAAAACAATGTGGTTACTATATTCACCCATATATCATGTCCCCCCTCGTACCCCATTGCAGTCACTGTCATCAGTGTAGTAAGATGCCACAGAGTCACTATTTCCCTTCTCTGTGCTACACTGCCTTCCCTGTGAACCCCCCACACCATGTGTGCCAATCATAATACCCCTCAATCCCCTTCTCCCTCCTTCCCCACCCGGCCTCCCCCACCCCTCCCCTTTGGTAACCGCTAGTCCCTTCTTGGAGTCTTTGAGTCTGTTGCTGTTTTGTTCCTTCAGTTTTGCTTCGCTGTTACACTCCACAAATGAGGGAAATCATTTGATACTTGTCTTTCTCCACCTGGCTTATTTCACTGAGCATAATATCCTCCAGCTCCATCCATGTTGTTGCAAATAGTAGGGTTTGTTTCTTTCAGCTGAATAGTATTCCATTGTGTATATGTATCACATCTTCTTAATCCATTCATCTACTGATGGAGCCTTAGGTTGCTTCCATATCTTGGCTATTGTAAATAGTGCTGCAATAAACATAGGGGTGCATATGTCTTTTTGAATCTGAGAAGTTATATTCTTTGGGTAAATTCCTAGGAGTGGAATTCCGGGGTCAAATGGTATTTCTATTTTTAGTTTTTTGAGGAACTTCCATATTAACTCCACAGTGATTGAACTAGCTTACATTCCCACCAGCAGTGTAGGAGGGTTCCCCTTTCTCCACATCCTCACCTGCATTTGTTGTTTTTAGTCTTTTCTATACTGGTTGTCCTAACTGGTGTGAGGTGATATCTCATTGTGGTTTTTATTTGCATTTCCCTGATAATTAGTGTTGTGGAGCATCTTTTCATGTGCCTCTTGGCCATCTGAATTTCTTCTTTGGAGAATTGTCTCTTCATATCCTCCACCCATTTTTTAATCAGGTTATTTGCTTTTCGGGTGTTGAGGCATGTGAGTTCTTTATATATATTTTGGATATTAACCCCTTGTCGGATATGTCATTTACAAATATATTCTCCCATACTGTAAGATGCCTTTTTTGTTCTGTTGATGGTGTCCTTTGCTGTACAGAAGTTTTTCAGTTTGATGTAGTCCCATTTGTTCATTTTTGCTTTTGTTTCCCTTGCTTGAGGAGATGCATTTAGGAAAGTTGCTCGTGTTTATATTTAGGAGATTTTTGTCCATGTTTTCTTCTAAGAGTTTTATGGTTTCATGACTTATATTCAAGTCTTTGATCCATTTTGAGTTTACTTTTGTGTATGGGGATAGACGATAATCCAGTTTCATTCTCTTGCATGTAGCTGTCCAGTTTTGCCAACACCAGTTGTTGAAGAGGCTGTCATTTCCCCATTGTATGTCCATGGCTCCTTTATTGTATATTAATTGACCATATATGGTTGATTTTATATCTGGGCTCTCTAGTCTGTTCCATTGGTCTATGGGTCTGTTCTTGTGCCAGTACCAAATTGTCTTGATTACTGTGGCTTTGTAGTAGAGCTTGAAGTCGGGAGCATTATTTCCCCAGGTTTATTCTTCCTTCTCAGGATTGCTTTGGCTATTCACAGTCATTTGTAGTTCCATATGAATTTTAGAACTATTTGCTCTAGTTTGTTGAAGAATGGCTTTTGGTATTTTGTTAGGAATTCAATTGAATCTGTAGGTTGCTTTAGGTAGGATGGCCATTTTCACAATATTAATTTTTCCTGTCCATGAGCACAGGATGTGTTTCCATTTATTGGTATCTTCTTTAATTTCTCTCATGAGTGTCTCGTAGTTTTCAGAGTATAGGTCTTGTACCTTCTTCATTAAGCTTATTCTTAGGTATTTTATTCTTTTTGGTGCAATTGTGAATGGAATTGTTTTCCTGATTTCTCTTTATGCTAGTTCATCATTAGTGTATAGGAATGCAACAGATTTCTGTGTATTAATTTTGTATCCTGCAACTTTGCTGAATTCGGATATTAGATCTAGTAGTTTTAGAGTGGATTCTTCAAGGTTTTTTATGTACAACATCAGGTCATTTGCAAACAGTGACAGTTTAACTTCTTCTTTACCAGTCTGAATGCTTTTTATTTCTTTGTGTTGTCTGATTGCCATGGCGAGGACCCTCAGATCACTTCTTAGTAAGAGGAGTGCATAATATTTGTGGTGCTTCCTACATGCAGGTGTGCTGTTAAGCACACCACAGATACCATCTCCTTTGTCCTCACAACAAGCCATGAGGAAGATACTTTCATCGTTCCCAGTTCACAGATGAGAAAGCAGAGGCCAGAGGCAAAGTGACTTGCCCAGAGGTTCTCAGCCAGCAAGTGGCAGAGCTAGGATTGAGCTGAGGCAGGCTGGCTCCTGCTTCTGTCCATCTGTGCCTGGGTCCTCAACTCCTGCCTTCCGTTCACACACTCACGACTGAAGAGGTGCTTAGCTTCGCACACTAGTTTGCTAAACAGAGATGCACCAAGGACTTCCTGAGTGCCAGACCTTGGACCACATGGGACTAAACCCAGCCAGGATCCCTGCTGTCTCTGGGCTCCAAGTGAGTGCCAGAGACGGACATCAGACATCAACCATGCCATCATAGACGGCACAGTGGCATCTCTGATGCAATTCTGCGTCATAGTCACATCCTTGTCCAGTTGAGTGTTTGGACCCATGAGCAGCACTTAGCATTTATTTCCCCCTGTGCTGTTTCACTGTGGTAGTTTCCAGGCAGGCTTTGCTTTCTCAGCCATGTGGGCAGAACCCTGACCACCCCCACCCTAGGCTCTGGCAAGGTCTTGAGGGCAACAGACAGGGGTAAGGTGAGGAGGGTGAGGCTTCTAGGTGAGAGGGCTTGGGGAGGTGAGAATGGCAGTGGGTATGAGGAGGGCCAGGCTTCTAGCCCCCAGTTCTCCAAACCTCTGAGTGAACCCTGCTGCTTGGCCTTTGGCCCTCTGCTCACACCCATCTTCCCAGGTGGTGATGGCTGCTGCGCATGGAGACAGAGACCGGGTCCTGCAGAAATCCAGGGACCTCAAATTCCTCACAGGCTTTGAAACCAAGGTCAGGAGACACTGGGGCATAGAGGGCTGGTGTCTACTGGGGATGAATTCTTGGGGGAGGGGGCAGCTTATCTCTTTTGGGAGACGGGGGGGGATGGGGGCTGCTTGGCTACTGAGAAGCCCTGGGAAAATGGGCACCACTGTTTATGTGGGGGCTGCTAGTGGGTACTATGGGTAGGGATGGAGGCTGCTTCTCTGTTGTAGAGAGACCAAGGCCTCCTTGTTTATGGGAAGCTCTGAGAGAAAGTGAAGGGCCATTTCTTTTGGGAGGACTAGGGGGCTGCTTGTCTCCTAGGGGCTCTGGAAGGAGTGGAGGCTGCTTTCTCTTCTGGAGTTAGGGGCTTCTATGAGTTGGGGGCTTCTTCTGGGTCAAGTGGAGGGCTGCCAGTTCATACTGTCCATACCCAGTGCCTCTTGCTCTCCCCTATCCCTAGGCATTTGCAGATGCCCACGTGGAGGCAGTGATGATCCTAGGGGAGCCCTTTGCCACCCAGGGCCCCTACGACTTTGGGGTGGGTGACACCGCCCGCCGCATCCAGGGCCTCATTCCTGTGCTGCTACGGCACCGGCTCCGCCCACCCCCCGAGGAGACCTATGCCCTGCACCGCAAGCTGGCAGGGGCTTTCCTGGCCTGTGCCCGCCTCCGTGCCCACATTGCCTGCCAGGACCTTTTCCAGGACACCTACCACCGGTACTGGGCCAGTCGCCAAGCACAGCCACTGCCCGCAGCCTCCTAACCAGAGGGCCTTATGGTCAGACCCCTCAGATACCCTCCATCCTGGGATACCAGTCCCATAGGGTGCCATCCTCTTCCCATTCTGCTCTGGGGACCCTCTCTTGGACTTCCCAGTCTTGCCTAGGTCCCCGGGGCTAGAGAACTCGTAGCTTTGCAGTCCCATATTCTGCTTTCCCCACCCCAAAGTGGACATCCAGAGATTATTTTTGCCACCATTTGAGAGCCTTAGCCCACCCCTCACGCCTTCACAGCGACCCAGACTCATCTAGAGGGGGAGCCCCTCACTTCTGCCCCAGGTCTCCCTCCCGATCTGGCCAGTGCAAGGGGAACAGTGGTGTTGACAGAGGCAGCGTCACCTTTGATCCTCACCCCCTTCCCCAGCTGCCTTCTCCAGGTTCCATCCTCTCTGTGTTGGGGAGGGGGTAAGGAGGGTGTGTGTTTGAACATTCAGTCCGAATAAAAGCAGCCCTCCCCTTTCCCCCCTTCCCCTTTTCTTTGCACTTTTGAGGAGAGGGGGACACGGGGAGGAGCTCTGGGGCTGTGTCCAGGTGCAGATGGCCAGTCCCCTCCCACCCTCTTCTCTAAAAGCCCCAGCTCTGCCTGGCCATCTGTTGCCGGGAACCTCCTTCTCCCCTTTCCCGCCCCCCACTCCCCGCCCCTGCCGCACGTGCTGACCACCTGCTCCAAAGGGCTGTGGCAGCTGAGGCCTCTCCACAACACACACCACCTCCCAGGCACCCGGCTCCCTTCACTTGGCTCCCGGCAACCTCTCCTTTGCTAATGGGTCTTAAGGCCCCTGCCAGCTGCTTTGCCAAACCCACAGAATTAGGCCGAGCAGAGGTGCAGGGGCAGCCAGAACCGCGCCCTGGGCCTAGCCCAGCGCCCCCTCCCCCCCCCCAAGTCGAACCCGTGGCGCACGGGGACGCCAGGGTCTGTTCTTTCCCCCTCCCATCCTGTGCAAAAAGTGCCTCGTCACCGCTTCTGCCCGCCCCCACTGGGCAGGGAGAACCGTGGGGTTAGCTGGAAGATTTGGGCATGTGGCCCAGCAAGACGCTTCCCGAGGCAACTCCTTCGGACCGAGGTATAGACAAGGAACTGAGATCGGGGTTACGGAAGGGAAAGGAGCCCACGCTCGGATGGACCTGGAGGAAGGGCTCAGCGAGGATCTTCGGCACGCCCAGCCAGCGACTGGCCAATGGGCGTGGCGTAGCGGTGGCCGCACCGGGAAAGGCGGGGTCATTTGCGTGTGGGCGAGGCCTGCAGGCCAGGGGGCGGAGCCTGGGCGGGGTCTTTTTGCATATCCAGCAGGCGGAGGGCCAATGGGCGGGGCGGAGGCGGGAGGGGCGCTTCCCCGCCCCCAGAACGGAATCCTCGGGGGAGCGGAGCAGGCTCGCGCGCGTGCAACCCGCACCGGTCCCCGGCCCGCGTCAGACCGCGCCGCCACCGCTAAGGCAGCAGCACTCGGGGATCCGGGCCCAGCCGGGGCCGCGGGAGGCGGGGGCGCCCGGGCCCTGGATGTCCCGCAGCGCGGCGGCCAGCGTGAGAAGGGCGGGAGAGGGGGGCTCGGGTGGGGGGCGGCGCTGCTGATGTGGCGGAGGGTGGGAGGTGGCCGCGGCGCCCGGATGGAGAGTGGGTGCCAAGGCTCGGGAGGGTGGGCCTGAGAGGGGGGGTCCGAGAACTGGCCCCCACCAAGCCAAAGCTTGGGAGGACAGGGATCTCGGGCATAGCCAAAGCCCTGGAGGTAGGGATCCCAGACAGACCTTCGCCCCAAAAAATCAAGGACGGGTGACAGATTCTAGGTACGACTCCCTAGGCAAGGTTTTGGGAATGCTGTCGGGAGCAACCCCCATATCAAGCCAAGGCTTCCAGGAGGCGATTCCAGACCAAAAGCAATCTCTACTCCTCCCTGCTTGAGGGGGTCTCTGAGCACAACAATCCTGTAGGCAAGGTCTTATGATGGGGTCTGTGGGCACAGTTTCCCCACCAAGTCAAAGTCAGGGTATTCCTGGCACAGTCTGTCCCCAGGCTACAGAGGCATCTTGGGCACAAATCCCCACCAATACTTGGGCGGCATCCCAAGGATAGTCCCTTTTCAAAACAAGGTCCCTGTCCTGGGGCTCCACCCCTCCCCCCCTGCCTGAATAAAATAGGGAAATTTCAGGCAACCCCCCAAAATGCTTGGTCAAGGGTCTCTGGGGCTGCCCATCTGTCTGGGAGCAGCCCCGCCCACAGACAGTGTGCTGCCTCCCCCTCCAGTTCTGGTCCCCCAGGCTCCAGGATTCACGCTGTAGGGGTGGGGGTTGCGGCTCCCCAGGGACCAAGTGCAGCCCTGTCTGTCTGCAGCGTCTGCGGTGACGGCGGCTTTGTGTGTGGTACCTGGGGGGAAGGGGGAAAGCACGCGATGTGGAGGTTGCTAAGAGTGTGACCCTGGGTTTGTGTGACTGGCTGTGTGCATATGTGTATGTGTATGTGTGCTACAGCTGTTGACTATGAGGATCCTGTGTGTGTGTCTGTGATTCAGGCTTGCGGTTGTGTCTCTCAAAATGTGATTTGTCTGTGTGACCCCAAAACATTTGTGTGACTGTGTGTGTGTAGATGACAACTGTTCTCTATGCAGAACCCTGTACTTTTACAGAACCGTGTGCCTGAGTATGTTCATGGTTGTGACTGGTTGTGTCTGTGATTACATCTTTTGTGACCCTGCTGGCGTGCCTTGGTAACTATAACTGGCTATGTGATGGTGTATATGTTGAGTCAGGTTGGGCATGTGTGTGGCTGACTGGAGATGTGGGTGGAGTTGTGACTGTAAATGGAGTTGTGTCTATGACTCTGTGTCCATGTGCATCTCAGTGACTCTGAATGTTTGTGGTTGTGTCTGACTTTATATGTTTGTCACACATGTATCTGTGTGACACACAACTGTCCCTGCAACTCTGGGTGTGGTACTGCCATTGCAAATAGAATCAGATTGTGCCAATGTAATGGATTGTGTAATGGACTTGTATGTGTGTAGGACAGTGGTTGTTCACGACATCTACATGTGTGACCAGTGTTGTATGAATGACTACATCCAGCTCGGTGTGTTGACACTGAGTGATTATCTGCTTTTATATTTGTGTATGTGTGATTTGGATTATGTATTTGACTTGGGGTCTGAAACCCTGAATGACTGTTAATAGCGGGTTATTTCATTACATATGACTCAAGCAATAGACACGTCTACTTTGCATGTTTGTGTTGGGGGGTTGTATTTGCATGTGGCCATCTTTGGGGACAGTGTCCGTGGTGGTTGTATGCATGTCTTGAGCATGCATGCCTGTTTCTCCATAATGCATGAGCCATGGCCATTGGTGTCTCTGTGTGTGACTGGGTACAGAGGACTCCATGTAAGTGTGGCTGGTACTGTGACCAAATGTGTGCCTGTATAACCAGGTATATGTGACCATGTGACCAAAAAAGGTATGTTGGTGTGTCTAATACAGTTGGTGTTGAGTGTCCATGTGAAGCTGTTTTCCTGTAGATGATTAAACACAAGTGACTGCGACTGGGAGTGGCTGTGTGTGACCAAATGTCATGTGACTTTGGCTTCTGTTTGTGTGTGACCTGCATGTCTGTGACCCTCAATGACTATATGTACTTGTGCCTGTGTCATAGTCTGTGAGAGTTTGTCTGTGGCTGTGTGGCTGGTGTGTGTGTGTGTGTGTGTGTCCATGTGCAGGTTGGACTACAAGTGTTTGAATCTGTGTGATATAACAGGGTGGCTTGTCTCCTGACTGTGTGCACAGCTCTATCAGGAACCGTGTCTTTGGTGTAAATACAGCTCTGAGTGTTATGTCTGGGCCACTGTCTTTCTGAGTATACACCTGACTGTGCTCGTGTGTGTGAAATGGAAATTGTATGCTGACTTCTCCATGTGTGAGGTACTGTGTCTGTCCACATGGAGCTATAATTGTATGTGGCCACATACTTGTCTGTGTGACTTGTGCGTTTTCATGCAAAGGACTGTGTTTCTCTGTAATGGTGTGACATGGTACAACTGGGTATAGCACATTGGGTGATGCTATTCTGCCTGTGACATATAGCTGAGTAATGTGGACACTGATGCTGACTTTACATATGTAACCGTTTCTGAAATGTGTGTGGCTGTGACTGAACCACCAACTGGCTGGCTGTATTTGCATGTGGCCATCTTTGGGGACAGTGTCCGTGGTGGTTGTATGCATGTCTTGAGCATGCATGCCTGTTTCTCCATAATGCATGGGCCATGGCCATTGGTGTCTCTGTGTGTGACTGGGTACAGAGGACTCCATGTAAGTGTGGCTGGTACTGTGACCAAATGTGTGCCTGTATAACCAGGTATATGTGACCATGTGACCAAAAAAGGTATGTTGGTGTGTCTAATACAGTTGGTGTTGAGTGTCCATGTGAAGCTGTTTTCCTGTAGATGATTAAACACAAGTGACTGCGACTGGGAGTGGCTGTGTGTGACCAAATGTCATCGTGCATCTGTGACCAGATGTCAACATGCGGCAGTGCATCCATGTGTGATGACGTGGCTGTGGTCATGTCTGTATGTGACTTGGTCCTAGCAGGTGACCTGTAACTGGGTGTGATTCCATGTGGACAGGTCTGTGATGTGAGGTCTTGGGTGGGTGCCTGAGGAAACATAACTGTCATTGGGTGTGGTTGGACACGTGCTGCTCTGGGCGGGGGCGGTGGGTGCTTGGGCCTAGCTCTTTGTATGTGGCTGAGGAAACACAAGTGCCCAAATATCAGTAGCTGATGAGACCAGATGTTTGTGGCAGTGCCTAGACAGGCTGGGACTCTTTATGCATGCGGACAAATGTCCCTAGCAGAGACTGTGTGTCTGTGAGCATGGGTGTGTGACCAGATGACTGTATAGTGGCTGTGCCTGTTGTGGATCTGGTGTGTGTAGCTATGGTTGTGTCTAGGTGTCACTAAAGGTGCAGAGCTGATGCCAAGTGCTAGGGACAACTGCAAACATGAGTTGCATACCTACCTGTGATTGTGTGTTTGTGTTAGCCCCAGACATGTGTCTAGAGGACAGCCCCTCCCTCCTCACCCCATCCCTGTGGGTACCGAGGGCCTCCTGAGGCCAGGACAACCCCAATAAATGCCCCTGAAACACACCTACTCATTCCTGGGCCCTTGCAACCAGGTGGCTGATTTCCCTAGTAACAGTTGTTATGACAACCAGGGCTCTCATCAGGGAGCCTGAGATGGAGGGGGCTTGGCTGATGTCCAAAGAGGGAGTGACGTAGGGGCCCACCCCAAACCAGCTTCTCACCTTCTCCTACCCCCTTGGGCAGGGCGGACCCAGGAGGCCTGAGCATCATTTGCCCCCAGCCCCCTGTGGGGCCCTGGGGCCCCCTGACGCCTCCAGGACGGAGCCAGGTGAGTGACCAGCTAGGGGCAGGGCAAGGGCTGGATCAGTGGGTGGCTTTGCCTGGTACGACCAAAGGAACTGTCCCTGCAGTCGCACAGGCCTAATCACACTCATGAACGGACCCTCAAATGTCTCCCCTGCATACTCCATACCATCAAAGCCCCACACGTTCCCAGACGCACACACTGGACGCAGCAACACACATTGACACACCAACATCCCTATATCCACAGGGGCAGGGTCACATGAACACAGACACATTCCCAGACAACACCTAGACCCACTCATTCAGGCCACCACAGACACTATATGTCGAGTCTTCGGGATTCTTGGGTACACTCTGACACAGTCTCCCAGACAACACACACAGATCCACATTTTTACAGACAATAGCCACAACCAGATGAAGCCTCACAAACAGCACCCATGGCCCCACATCTCGTAAAGAACTACACTTTTGTATGGCTCAGACACACAGTCTCACAAAGAACACCCACAATGCAAGACAACAATATTACACACCCTCACAGATGCATGGTTCCATACAGACACAGTCCCACAACAGCACTCAAGGATCCATACTCTCACAACACAGCCACACACTCTGAGACAGTCACACAGCCTCACCACCAGTAGTTGCACTGTTGGCCATAGACATGGTCTTTTGGTTAACTCTCTCTCACAGACACACAGTGTCATAGGCAGCAGTCATCAGACAGTAGACACACCTTCACAGACATACAGCTTCAAAGACAACAGTCATGCACATACCCTTTCAAGGACAACAGCTTCACTTCAAATGAAGACACATCCTCAATGTCAGCATTGCCTGACACATACTCACACCCACACTCACATATAGCTGCCCTTCAGCAGCAACTTTCAGGGACCTACCCTCATGGAGAACAACCACACTCTTGGACACAGACTACCTCATGAACAACATTCACAAACACACACTCATAAACAACTATTCTCAGACCTGCATCCTTCTGTACAGCCTCCAGAAATAAACACACTCATAGATAATAGTTGCATGCTCAGATCTAGACACCCTCACAGATACCTCAAGAATGTACCAGCTGCATGCACGCATGCGCGTTCATGCACACGCACACACGCATGCAGTCCCCATCTGCTCTTGGTGCTCTGTCCTCGGCATCCCCTCACCCTCCTCCAGGGCTGTCAGTATAGCTTATTAGTCAGTGAAGACTTTCTTAGTAGCTGGCCACCTCCACCCCCACCCTTACCTCTGATGGTCCCAGGTGCACACCACCCATGGGTCCCTGCCTTAGACAAGCACACAGTTGTTGGAAAGGCAGTACCTCACAGGCATAGAGACAAGCCCCTGTCCCTGTACCCTCTGACCTGGGCTCTAGGACCACAATCCCTGGACCTTCTAAGGCAGACCCATGTCCCCACATCCCCTGCGGCTAACCCATGGAACTCCAACGTCCTGCCCTCTGACCACTCATCTCCTGACATTGTACCCACAAAAGCCCTGAGGTCATGACCTGATTTCTGTGTCCTCTCTCCCCCCAAAGCTCTCCAATGCTCCAACTTCCTGTTACTTTAGATCCTCATGCCTCTTGACTGTCACATCCCCAATCTCCAGGCCTCTAAAACCTGTGCCTCATGACCCCCATCTCAGACCTCCGCCCCATGTCCTCTGAGTTCCCACTGTTGACTCTCCCACTCCCTGTCTTCTGTTGTCCACTTTCCCCATGTCCACAATTGCTGCAGTTCCTTGTTACCCAAATGCCATGTCCTCTGACCCAGTGACCCTCTGAGCCTGTGACCCTGCTTCCATGTTATCTGACCCTGTGCTCCCTGAGCATTGTGCCCATGCCCCTTGAGCTCCATGGCTCTGACCAGCACCCCTGTTCTGTGTCACCAGACGGGGCAGGCACCATGAACAAGTTACGGCAGAGCCTGCGACGGCGGAAGCCAGCCTACGTTCCCGAGGCGTCGCGCCCGCACCAGTGGCAGGCGGACGAGGATGCGGTGCGCAAGGGCACGTGCAGCTTCCCGGTGAGGGTGAGTGGGCAGGGCGTGGGCAGCAGCTATGCGCATGTGGGACCTGGGGCCCTGGCCGAGGTGGCCAAGGCCCTGGGCTGTGTGGAAGGGGCTTTGTGTCCCCAAAGACCTGTGGAACCTGGCAGAGCCTGACTCGCCATAGCCTGGTCCTTCAAAGGTGGATTTGAAAACCAACGCACGTTCTCTTGGACTAAGAAAAATTACCTGGAGGAGCATCCTTCCTGGAGTCACCTCATTCAGTGGGAGCTCCAATATCCAAAGGACACTGGAAGGTCACAAAAATTCTGTCGCATTTGCAAAGGTCTTTACTGTTAAGTGCCTTCTAGCTTAGACCAGCCTGCCTCTTTACAACATATGTTTATAAAGGAGACAGCAGGATTCAGGTTCAAATCCTGGACTCAGCCCCCTCCTGGCTGGGAGATGGCAGGGGATGGTCACAGCCCTCCCACCTTATTTTCTCTTCCTCTGGAAGCAGACCCCAAGTGTGAGAGGTCCATCAGGAGGTGCAGGAAATTCTCGCAGAGACAATGTTGTGTTACCGAACTACAGCTGGGGGCACCTGTGCTTGCTGCCACTGGGGAACTTGGGGGAATAGCCATTCCACCCATCAGTCGTTGTGTGGGCCAGTCCCCAGGCCCAGACACTGGCACTCGGAAGGACAGCAGGGATGTGTTAAGGCCCAGGGATGGAGGCACCATGGGAATCACTATCTCTGTGTTGGCGGTTTTCTCACCTGAATGTCTGGGGTGGGAATGGGACACCCACCTTGCGGAGTTGAGGTCAGTATGAGTGAGTACGTGTGATGCACTTAGGACACTGTGTGATGCGTCACAGCTGCTCAGTGGACACTAGAAATTACTGATCCCTGTGCTTATTCCATGTCCTCCCCCTCTCACCCCCAGTACCTGGGCCACGTGGAAGTGGAGGAGTCCCGGGGGATGCATGTGTGTGAGGATGCTGTGAAGAAGCTGAAGGCGGTGAGTGAGGGGCGGGAGCAGGGAGTGGGTGAGGTCAGCCCGGAAGAGGCGGCCCTGGCCAGGCCCTGTTTATCTATCCTCCCCCCCAACTGCAGATGGGCCGGAAGTCCGTGAAGTCCGTTCTTTGGGTGTCAGCAGACGGACTCCGAGTGGTGGATGACAAGACCAAGGTAGGCAGCCCGTGGGAGTGGACACCAGTGGGGCTCCCTCCAGCCCCCACTCGAGTCAGGGCTGGGGACGCTTCCCATGCACCTCCAGGATGTACCACCCCCAGGGGCCGTCTAGCCCATGGGCACCTCCCGCACCGTGGCACACTCCAGTCATAACTCAGGACTGAGTTCTGTGCTCCTTTGTGAGCTGGCATAGATGGTGGGTGAGAGCACAAACTGGAGCAGCCGCCTCAGCTCCAGTGCCAGCCCAGCTTACCAGCTGGGTGACCCTGGGTATGAGCTTTAACCCTCTATGTCTCAGTCCCCTCATCTATAAAATGGAGATAAAAATGGGCCTTACCATTAAGTGAGAAGAGATATGCAAATAGTTTGGAAGTATGCCTGGTCCAGCGTCCGTGCTTGGATCAGTGGTGTCAGCTGGTACGTGCTGACTGTCAGTCTGCCCAGCCAGATGGGAGTCCTGCAGGGCCAGAATCTGGGTGTCTGCTCACCGCAGAAGCCCCTGCCCAGAGACTGCCCAGGGAGGTCACAGCCCCCAGTGAGAATTAGGTCAGTGATCCAACAGGTTGGCCACCTTTGCACAGGTAGTTCCCTCAGCCTGCAACACTGTTCCCTGCCTTTTTGCCTAGTCAATACCTCCTCCGGGAAGTTTTGCCTGACTCCCCCTGAAGTTGGTTCAGACACCCCCCACCTCTTGGCTCCCATGGGCCCCTGTGTCTCCCCCACCCAGCCCTGACCCCTCTGCCTGTGCTGTCCTTGTCACGCGTGGCTGTGATGCTGAGCTGTCTCCATCTGGTGAGAGGTCTGATTCCCACACTGAACTGGGAGCCCCATGCCAGAAGGGCCCACAGCTGTTTCAGTGAGTGCCGGGTGCCCACCCTGTTCAGGACAGGATAGAGAGCAGACACTCAAGGAATGTGGGGTGAGTACATGAAAGCCAGTTCGCATTCCTCTCTTGGCCTCCCCGGCCTTTCCCAGGACCTGCTGGTAGACCAGACCATCGAAAAGGTCTCCTTTTGTGCTCCTGACCGCAACCTGGACAAGGCTTTCTCCTACATCTGCCGTGACGGGACCACCCGCCGCTGGATCTGCCACTGTTTCCTGGCGCTCAAGGACTCCGTGAGTTCGCCAAAGCCCAAGGCCGGCTCTCCTCTCCTTGCCCTGACATTCCAGCCCCACCCGCAGCCGGGTGTGTGGAGTCAGGCAAGTCACTCACTTCACCCCTCTATGCTCCGGGTCCTCATCTGGAAAAGGGGATGTACTCATAGCTCCTAACTTAGAGGATTCTGTGAGACTTGAGAGGATTAATGCAGAGCATTTAGAACAATGCCTGGCACATAGGAAGTGCTCAGGAAAACATTAGTTAACATCCTCTACATTATCTGGAGTTCCTCATGTTTCTCTAACTTTTCTCTTGGAGAATCATATACATACAGTAATGTGCGCAGATGGTCCAGCTGCAGCTCCATGAATTTTTGCTGATGCAGAAACCCCACCTAGGACAAGCTGTAAACTTCCCTGGCCCCAGCAGGCTCCATGGGCCCTTCTCAAGCAATAACCCCAGGGCACCCGCTCTTCCTTCAGCCTTGATTCATTGTGCCTACAGCCCTTTAACTTTTGGAAGTGGGAGGGGGTGTCAAGGTTCCCTCTGAGAATGTGATAAAAGCCACAAAGAGACTGTCTTCTCAGAACATCCTCTCAGTTAGAATTCTAAGGCTTATGACAGAAACCCCCTGCTACCAGTCACATCAGTGAGGTAGACATGTGTTTCTGTTGCGTGTAAAAGGCATCCAGAGGCAGGCAGCAGGCCATTGCTGTGGCTTTTCCCCCCTTATCAAGGACCACAGCTCCTTTATCTTGTTTCTGCACTGGAGTATGGCTGCCCCTCCATGATCCCAGATGGTTACCCACACTCCAGCCTTCACATCTTCATTCCAACTGCATAAAGGAGGGAGGCATGCGCTTTCATTTTTGGGAGCCACGCAACACTTCCAGTTATATATCTTTGGCCTGAACCGAGTCACATGAACATCCCTAGCTGCAGAAGATAGTGGAAAATAGAATCTTTATTCTGCCACGTCGTTTAAACCCTGACCTCAGACCCTACCCAAGTTGGTAGGAAGCCACAGTCTCAGTCCCCTCAAGTAACCAGTGTTCTTGGTTGCTGGCAGCAGAAACAGTCTGGTTAACTTAAATCTGAAGTAAAATTAATGGAAGCAGATGAGGATTCTCACAAAATCAAGGGGCAATCAGAGCATTAAGCATCAGAAAGGGCACAGAGCAAGGCAGCCTGGCGATGCTGTGCCGGATAACAGTTCCTTCAGGGCAACACTGCAAAGATGAATCCACCTCCCGATGCTTTGGGTTCAAATTCTGATGAGAGGGCATGGGACTGGCCTAGCTTGGGTCACTGTCTTCCCTTTGTCCAGGGGAGGGTGGAACACTGAGTTATCCAGTGTCGAAGAGAAGCTCCCCAAAGGGAATGTGGGATGCTGTTATCAGAAGCAGGGAGAATGGATACCAGACAAGTAAAACACCTGTCCTGTGAAGACATCAGTCTCCACACAAGGATTCAGAAATCCCCACTCCAAAGAGCTCTGATCCCTCAGAACTAATCAGTACCCCCAACTTCCTTATTCACAAACACAATTTCAGATCTCAGACCAGAGGTGGAAAACAAATTTGAGGGTTTAAATATTGATTAGTAAGTACTTCCAGGGGTTCGTGTGGAGATACTGGAAATTGTGAGCCCATAGCAACTGTTCCCTGAGCATATCATAGTCGTTGCATCGGTTATCTATTGCTGTGTAACAAATTACTCCAAAATTTAGTGGCTTAAAATTTACAATTATTTAGCCTGTCATGGGTTTTGTAGGTCAGGAACTTAAGAGAGGCTTAGCCGGGTGGGTCTGGCTCCAGAGTGTCTCATGCTGTTGCATCAGATGGTGTCTGGAGCTGTGACACCAGGAGACTGGCCAGCCAGCTCTTTCTTTCGTGTGCTCATAAGCCCTCCCCATAGGGTTTCTCCAGCATGGAGGCTGCAGGAGAGCTGGACTTCTTAAATGGTGGTGCAGCGCGAACTGAGAGAGAGCAAGCGAGCCAGGAGGAAGCTGTGTTGCCTTTTTGGAGCTGGTCTTGGAAACCACAACCACACAGCATTGCTTCTGTGGGATTCTGTCTGTCCAGGTTGTCACAGAGGTCTTCCCAGGCTAAGGGGAGAGAACACAGACTCCACTCTGGGAGTGCCAAGGTTCTGGAAGAGCATGTGGGCAAATTTGTTGTGGCTGTTGTTGGAAAATACACTGCCAAGTGGTTAGTGTGGATCCGTGTCACACCACCTGCTGTGGGGCCTTAGGCGTAGGTGACTTCTCTCTGCACTCGGTTTCCTGCTCTGTAAATGGGGTTAGTAGCAGTGGCTGCTCACAAGCTTATTGGGGAAGCATTCGTAATGGTCACACACATAAAGTTCTAGACATAGTAGGTGTTCGGTGACTAGGAGCGGTTGTTACCGTTTGAAAAGTATTTGGGGATGAGAATCCAAGCAAGAAAGGAGAAGGGCCATCTCCTCTGGGTGGAGAGTGATTTGGGCAGAATTCCTTTCCACTTTTGAGTTTTGGGTTCTAAGCATTAAGCAGTAGAATTCCCAGGATTCCCCACATTTATTTGTGTGTTTGTTTGTTTGTTTATTAAGGTATTATTGATATACACTCTTATGAAGGTTTCACATGAAAAAACAATGTGGTTTCTACATTTACCCATATTATCAGGTCCCCACCCATACCCCAATGCAGTCACTACCCATCAGTGTAGTAAGATCCCACAGAATCACTATTTGCATTCTCTGCTACACCGTCTTCCCTGTGACCCCCTCACACTATGTGTACTAAGGATAATACCCCTCAATCCCCTTCTCCCTCCCTCCCCACCAGCCTACCCCCGCCCCTCCTTTGGTATCTGCTAGTCCCTTCTTGGAGTCTGTGATTCTGCTGCTGTTTTGTTCCTTCAGTTTTCCTTTGTTCTCATACTCCACAAATGAGGGAAATCATTTGGCACTTGTCTTTCTCCACCTGGCTTATTTCACTGATCAGAAGATAGTGGAAAATAGAATCTTTATTCTGCCACGTCGTTTAAACCCTGACCTCAGACCCTACCCAAGTTGGTAGGAAGCCACAGTCTCAGTCCCCTCAAGTAACCAGTGTTCTTGGTTGCTGGCAGCAGAAACAGTCTGGTTAACTTAAATCTGAAGTAAAATTAATGGAAGCAGATGAGGATTCTCACAAAATCAAGGGGCAATCAGAGCATTAAGCATCAGAAAGGGCACAGAGCAAGGCAGCCTGGCGATGCTGTGCCGGATAACAGTTCCTTCAGGGCAACACTGCAAAGATGAATCCACCTCCCGATGCTTTGGGTTCAAATTCTGATGAGAGGGCATGGGACTGGCCTAGCTTGGGTCACTGTCTTCCCTTTGTCCAGGGGAGGGTGGAACACTGAGTTATCCAGTGTCGAAGAGAAGCTCCCCAAAGGGAATGTGGGATGCTGTTATCAGAAGCAGGGAGAATGGATACCAGACAAGTAAAACACCTGTCCTGTGAAGACATCAGTCTCCACACAAGGATTCAGAAATCCCCACTCTAAAGAGCTCTGATCCCTCAGCACTAATCAGTACCCCCAACTTCCTTATTCACAAACACAATTTCAGATCTCAGACCAGAGGTGGAAAACAAATTTGAGGGTTTAAATATTGATTAGTAAGTACTTCCAGGGGTTCGTGTGGAGATACTGGAAATTGTGAGCCCATAGCAACTGTTCCCTGAGCATATCATAGTCGTTGCATCGGTTATCTATTGCTGTGTAACAAATTACTCCAAAATTTAGTGGCTTAAAATTTACAATTATTTAGCCTGTCATGGGTTTTGTAGGTCAGGAACTTAAGAGAGGCTTAGCCGGGTGGGTCTGGCTCCAGAGTGTCTCATGCTGTTGCATCAGATGGTGTCTGGAGCTGTGACACCAGGAGACTGGCCAGCCAGCTCTTTCTTTCGTGTGCTCATAAGCCCTCCCCATAGGGTTTCTCCAGCATGGAGGCTGCAGGAGAGCTGGACTTCTTAAATGGTGGTGCAGCGCGAACTGAGAGAGAGCAAGCGAGCCAGGAGGAAGCTGTGTTGCCTTTTTGGAGCTGGTCTTGGAAACCACAACCACACAGCATTGCTTCTGTGGGATTCTGTCTGTCCAGGTTGTCACAGAGGTCTTCCCAGGCTAAGGGGAGAGAACACAGACTCCACTCTGGGAGTGCCAAGGTTCTGGAAGAGCATGTGGGCAAATTTGTTGTGGCTGTTGTTGGAAAATACACTGCCAAGTGGTTAGTGTGGATCCGTGTCACACCACCTGCTGTGGGGCCTTAGGCGTAGGTGACTTCTCTCTGCACTCGGTTTCCTGCTCTGTAAATGGGGTTAGTAGCAGTGGCTGCTCACAAGCTTATTGGGGAAGCATTCGTAATGGTCACACACATAAAGTTCTAGACATAGTAGGTGTTCGGTGACTAGGAGCGGTTGTTACCGTTTGAAAAGTATTNTTTTATCATGAATGGGTGTTGAGTTTTGTGAAATGCTTTTTTGGCATCTATGGAGATGATCATGTGGTTTTTGTTCTTCTTTTTTTGATGTGGTGGATGATGTTGATGGATTTTCTAATATTGTACCATCCTTGCATCCCTGGAATAAATCCTACTTGATAATGATGGATGACCTTTTTGATATGTTTTTTAATTTAGTTTGCTAATATTTTGTTGAGTATTTTTACATCTATGTTCATCAGGGATATTGGTCTGTAATTTTCTTTTTTTGTGATGTCTTTGCCTGATTTTGGTATTAGAGTGATGTTGGCCTCATAAAATGAGTTTGGAAGTATTCCCTCTTCTACTTTTTGGAAAACTTTAAGGAGGATGGGTATTAGTTCTTCACTAAATGTTTAATAAAATTCAGCGGTGAAGCTATCTGGTCCAGAAGTTTTGTTCTTAGCTAGTTTTTGGATTACCAATTCAATTTTGTTGCTGGTAGTTTGTCTATTTAGATTTTCTCTTTCTTTCTGCGTCAGCCTTGGAAGGTTGTATTTTTCTAGAAAAT